GCAGATCAGGCAGTCTTGTAGTCGTGGCCGAGAGGTTAAGGCGATGGACAAGAAATCCATTGGGGTGTCCCCGCGCAGGTTCGAATCCTGCAGACTACGTGCTCTCCCTTTTTAAAATTGCAGCAGTCATCAATTGTTTCCATTTTCATTTTTTCTTGGGAAAAGCATTGTGCTGGTAGGAGGAGGAAAACAACAGCGTTCTCACTGAACAGAAAGGGGGCATATCACAGGGAGGAACATACCACACAAGGGCCACAACAGCTGTTCCGTAGCTCGCCGTGATCGTATAGTGGTTAGTACTCTGCGTTGTGGCCGCAGCAACCCCGGTTCGAATCCAGATCACGGCAGGTTTTTCAAGGTGACATTGGCGTTACACTCTGTGTTGCCATCCGTTATCTCCAGCCTTCTTTTAGTGCAGGCTGTGCTAATGGCACGTCCTGAATGTTTACGTTTCCTAAAGTGTGGAAGACTAGAATTCTATATGAGAAACAGGATCTTTGATGACAGCATGCTGTGTAGATAAGTACTGATCAAGTCACGCTTCTAAGGCATGGAAGGAATCTTTTCAATTGTTGAGTGTCCATTCATTGCCACAACAGCAGAAAGACCTTCTGCAGTTAACATTGATCTATTTAATTTCTCCTACATGACATGGAGTCCAAACTATTGTGTTGTACTGATTTCTACATCTACAACCATAAACCCAACCTCAAAGTAACCTGTCGTGTTTTAGCAACGTCCACACCAACCATAAGCTTAAACCCCATCTCACGGTAAACTTTAGTGTACTGTAAAGGTCTGCACCGACCACAACGCTAAACCTTGCCTACTTGTAAGTTACTGTTGTGGAGCCTGGATAGCTCAGTCGGTGGAGCATCAGACTTTTAATCTGAGGGTCCAGGGTTCAAGTCCCTGTTTGGGTATGTAAGGCTCTTTTTGTGGAGCCACAGGTTTTGCCGTTGAGCTATTGCTTGAAGAAAGTTTCATCTGGATGCACAACACGTGTACTAGGCATGTACAAGGCAGTACAGGCAGTCTTGTAGTTGTGGTTGAGAAGTTAGGGCGATGGACTAGAAATCATTTGGTGTTTCCCTATGCAGGTTTGAATCCTGCTGACTACGTCCTCTTCCTTGTTAAAATAGCAACAGTCTGAGACTTTCGGTGGTGCAATAGAGATGGCACATCCTTAAAAGTTAAGCTGTCCTATTTTTTCAATAAATCTCGAGTCAAGTAACTAGATCTAATATAAGAAGAGTTTTCAGAATGAGTGCGTCAACGAGATATAAGAGTACATCAAAAAATGAAAATAGAAAGAGACAACAAAAAATAATCACTTAGCCATGCTGTACAAGCTAAAGCTAATGTTAACCCACGTGCACCTTAACTTTCTTAAGTGATGAACGAACTGAAATTGTTGAGAAGAGAAAATCAAGACTGGCATAAACAAACACAAACATCACTGACAAAATTGAAGACTTCAGTTCAGGCCCTGAAATGCAAAATAAACAGTTTGAAGAGTGAATTGAAGAGACCAAGGAACGTATCGGAGTTGCTGAGGAGATCGGGATGAGGCATGAAACGGCGCTGCGACACCTGCTGGAACAAGAGGCGAATCTCACAGAAAGATGCAAAGACTTACAAAATAGACTTCGCCAAAATAATTTGAGAATATACCAAGTACCCGAGGGCTGCGAAGGAGAAATCACAGTGGAATTTGTGGTAAGTTTGCTTACCACTGTTCTACAACTGCCTCAAGAATTGGACATAGAGATTGAAAGAGCACATAGAGCCCTTGCAGCAAAACCCAAAGATCTCGCCGCACCCCCTAGATCAATAATAGTGAGATTCTTGGACTTTGCTGTTAAAGATGCAATCCTACGACAAGCCTTGTCACAGAAAGAGGTAATGTACAATGCGAAACGCATCTACTTTGACAATGACTACTCGCCAGAGTAACAGAAGCAAAGAGCACAGGTGCGAGACGTCATGAAACAGCTCAGGACATAGAATGTGCGGGCGCAGTGTGTCTATTCAGCACAGATAAGGATCTAACTAGAGACGGGAGTAAAGACGTTCTCTACACTGGTAGATGCTGCTTTGCAACTACGTGAGCTGGGAAATAAAGTCAGAGTGAATGAACGAGACAGACAAGCGAGAGAAATACTGAAAACAAGATGGTCAGTGCAAGGGAAAGGTGGACGTGGAATGGACACAGCATCACTGACGGATGCGGATCTCAAAGCGTTTCTGCAGAAGGACTGAAGAGTTGAAAATATGTAGACAATATAGATATTAAAAAGGATATTTCTCTTTAGAATGTGAGTAAACTCTGGTTGAAACATGGAAGAAAATGTTTATTGTTTTAATTTATTTTTGGTTTGTTTTGTGATGGAAGAAAATGTTTATTGTTTTAATTTATTTTTGGTTTGTTTTGTGAAGATACACCTTTCAAATGTTTTCTACCTTTATTATCAGGATAATTGACTTTATTTAAAACAGACAGATGTTTTTGCTGAGACTTTACAGACTCCTGGAGGCAGTCATGTTTTAAAACAGAATGGCTGCAAGCACTCAGTATATTTTTGATACCCCAGAGAGTCATTTGGCCTATGGGAGAAACGACCACAAGGTTTGTTTGAGGTCGGGTCATCCCATTATGATATGCATATAGTATTTTCATGTAACGTCTCGGCTTTGTATTTAAAAAACATGGCAGTTCCTTGGTTTATGTTCTGTGTAGCTCCACAAGCTCATGACATATCTCTGTAACCAATCAGCGTTCAGCTGCACGTGTAGCTCCACCTTTTTGTACCCTTTGTCTCGTTTGGTACCCTTTCGAAAGGGTGTCGAAAAAGTGGTACGTTATGGTTTGGTTCGGTACGCTTTTTGACAGCCATAAAAAGAACGTATAAAAAAAAACGGCCATAAAAGCATAACAAACCGTACCGTACCACTCAGTGGAAACAGGCCAGTAGTGTCCTCACTGCTGTTCTGCTTTTGTAAAATTGGCCAGATAAGGGCCCATGGCATGGAGCCCTGCAGGTTAGCGTGGATGAAGTGTCTAAGCTGCTGGATTTAAGCTCTAATCACTTTGGGGGCGTGGGTACGAATTCCACCACTGCCAGATGTGGTTTTAAACACGGGTAAACTGCTTGAGTGTGTGCGCGTTCTCAGTGAACGCTGGAAATGAGAGAGTACACTTAAGTTGGCAGCTAGTCAGAATAATGTGTTCTTTGAAACTCACGGCAGACTTGTTGTGACAGCAACACATTCCCAAGCTCGAATCTGCTAAGGAGCAAGTGTCTTTCCCACGATTAGATTGCAGCATCTTAACCAAGTCTGCACTGGAAGTCTGTTTCTGCCATTGCTCCTTTTAGCAAGAGCACCCCGTTAAAACAAGAACAGTAATAATTCACAATTAGAGGAGTAATTCTGTATAACTGGACCCGCAACTTCTGCAAGGGCTTATCTGGGATTTGAACCCAGGACCTCTCGCACCCTGAGCCACTGGCACAGACTGGAACAGACACACAGCCAAGAAGAATAATCTGCTGTGTCCTGTTGTTGTTTTACGAGCCCGTCTAAAAGTGTGAGCGGTATTCGCTTTCTTTTGGGAGCTCGCGTCTGCGTCTATATTTGATATAACGAACATGTGTGTGATTATTGAAGTGTCCCCGTCATCTGATCCATTCAGAAAAAAAGGACAAGCGCGAGAGTGAAACGCGGAAAAAAAGAGAAGCCCGGCAAAACACAGGAGCAAAATTGTTTTAGCAACCTGAATCATGAACAAACTGCCATGATTATCTTCGCCTTTTGGACTATTATGAACTGGGAATGACAAAATGACTCTTAACAGAGCTTACATGTGCTGGTGAAGATTACAGACCCAGATGAGAGGTTTGCGCTGACTGTGGGCTATATTGTGTGTGTTTTTGAGCTGTTGACTTGTGGATTTTAAAATGCATGGCGCTGCACGTTGCCGAGCGGCGCTTCCGGTGTGCGACCTGCTTTACATTCTTGCTGCAGCACCGAAGTTAGGGACCGAAATTCATATGCTGATTTGATCCGGTGCATACCGGTTCCAAAGGTACCGGTGCCGAGTTTCGGTACTCAACCCTACATAGCGCGCACCTGCCTTGCCCGGGCTCGGGCACTCCTACCTGGGGCAGCATTTGATGCCTCTGGATCCTGGATCCCCGCCTGCACCAGGGTCATAGCTCGCACTTGCCTTGCCTGGGCTCGGGCACTCCTACCTGGGGCAGCGTTTGATGCCTCTGGACCCTGAATCCCCGCCTGCACCAGGGTCATAGCGCGCACCTGCCTTGCCCGGGCTCGGGCACTCCTACCTGGGGGAGCGTTTGATGCCTCTGGACCCTGGATCCCCGCCTGCACCAGGGTCATAGCGTGCACCTGCCTTACCCGTGCTCGAGCACTCCTACCTGAGGCAGTGTTTGATGCCTCTGGACCCTGGATCCCCGCCTGCACCAGGGTCATAGCGCACACCAGCCTTGCCCGGGCTTGGCTCTGGGGGCTGCTAGCCTGCACTTAGACCCCTGGTTCGTTCAACCGCAAAAGCCAAAAATAAACAGTCCCTTTTTCTTCGCCGAAACCACGACGGCAGGTCAGAGACAATTGGCTTCGGGCACGCACCTCCAGGCGCAGGACGTCCCAACAGGTAAGCCAGGAAAGGTGGTCTCTCTTCGGGCATGGCTTGGTGGGTTTGGGCCTTGGTCTAATCAACACCCCCCGGTGAGTGCATCCAAGCGTTTGCCAGCAGTCGTTCCAAAGACTGAACGTATTTTTACTGGTCCTTAGTTCGAGAGAAAGACCCACCATTTTACTTTCTTTCTAAAGTTACTTGTCTACTTCAGTATATCAAGTACATGCCGCTTATTTGAGTCGCAACATACGAGAGAGATGAGCCAACAAAATAGCCTGAATGCAAATTATTTATTATAGAATATAACTCATAGAACAATTAATAAAAGTAACCAACAAATGTCTAGGGATAATAATGAAGATAAAGAACTTAGGATATAATCACAACAACATGTTAACTACATGATATAAGTAATGCAAAACAAAACCTTAAAGTTAAAGAGTCAATGAGATAGCAGGTCTTTACATAAGGACTCCTGAGTAGCCACAGCTAACACAACAACTTTTATATACCCATTGATGAGTAATGCAGGCATCCAATCAGGATTTACCTGGGATTTACTTTGGGATCATCAGTGTAGTAATATTGTAACACTTAATACCTGTCGCTCTGCCTAAATCATAAAATATTCATCAAGTTTGTATTCTACTCAAAAAAGTAAATGTAGTAAACTAAAAAGAATCTTGAACCTAAAAGTAAAGAAAATTTACTAATAAAAGCTGCAACACAGGACAATTAAATTGGCTTTCTAAACTTGAAGCCCTGGTATATGCAAACTAACCGTCCTGGAGCTCCACCTTGTTTAATGTGCGGAGTCTTTCCAGTGATTTGTTTCTCATTCAGGGAGTCAGACAGAGAACATCATCCAAAACAACACTAGCTACACGAATACACTGGAGAGTGGAGTACAAATGTATCCGTACCTGTACAATCACTTGCAATGAGATTTTAAGCTGCTGAGATGCTGTTTGCCAGATGTTTATGAAACTGTTCTTCTCTCAGCCACCATCACTGTGTTTACGGTAAACGTAAGGAGCGCAACACATTTACAACCCCACCTACTGCAGTGTAGGAGTGTTGGAAAACAGTATATCATCACTCAGCCTTTTCAAACATAATTCAGACATGAAACATCCTGTCCACATGAGAAAATGTTTTGCTGCATTCATGTATTCTGTGCAACTTTTTGTCCATGTGTTTGTTAAACTGCGCCGAATGAGTGAAACTCTGTAGACACTGATCAGATCTGTAGAGTTTCTCTCCAGTGTGAATCCTCTTCTGTTTTCAGATGTGTTAACTGATTAAACCTCTTGTCACATTGTGAACACTTGTACGGTCTCTCCAGTGTGAAACGTCTGGTGCAGTTTCAATTTTGGAGCTGTAATAAAAGTCTTCTCACACTTAAAGCACATATACTCTTTCACACCAGTGTGAATCTTCATGTATTCATTAAAGTTTGCTGATCTGTTGAAACTCTTCCCACACTGAGTGCATATGAATAGTTCCTCTCCGAAGCTGCGATCACACTATAGTTTGAGCATGCAAAATTCTGTTGTTCAGCGCTGCGAAAAGAGGCTGGATTAAACAAGATTTAACGTACAGTCAGTAGATAAAATTAGGTATCGATTTTATAAAGGGGTCTAAGTCTCCTCTGTGTGGGTTTATGACTCTTGGTGCCACAAAGTCTGAGCCTGTGTGACACCACTTATTTAGAGGTAAGCCAGAGATGGTTGTCAAAACTTCAAAAGACATTCCTGCCCCGCTTCCTCCTGAGACACACAGGTACACATATGCAAGGCTCCCACAGCTGAAAGGGACTCAGAAATCCTGAATCAGCCCAAAAGTAAATGTTATGTGTTTGTAAACTTTGTATTTCTTTTCTGACTTTTCTAACATGTAAATATCTCTCTCGTGCCCTTTTTAAGACACTATACCAGCTAAGAATGTGGGAATCATGTTGATTTCTTAAAACTGTAGTGTTTCATACCGTTAGGTTTCTCCTGCCATTTTACAACCCATGATGCATAGCACATAATCATAATCTATATGGCTTAAATTATTTAATGCTCCGAGTTAATGTCTCTTAGCATGTCTCTTATTTTGCATATTAGCGGTTCAGAGACAAAAAAAATCTCCCTCTCAAACTTTGCTAGGAGACCATTGGTCAGTCAGTAGAAAAAGGGGTGTGACATGCCACCACAGTTTAAAAACCAGCCGTGCGCACAACTCTGCACAGAACTATCCGGAAAAACTCTCTAAGAGGCTGCCCCCTTTTGAGGGGGCAAACCACATTTTCTTTAGCCGCGTGGCTCGTCCGAGCCCACGTTTTCTTATTTTTCCCGGCAAAGTAAAACTCAGTTTAAAGTTGCGATCGCATATCCTCCGACCTGCATCGCAAACTGTGCATCTAGAAAGGACACTAAAGGACATCTAACGCATAAGAGAGAATACTCGCAAAAAGAGAGAAAAACCATCTTTCTAAAGGTAATTGTGTTATGCATTAAAGCTGTGCCCCTTATCAAAAAGGTGTTTTCTTTGCAATCTTAATGGTCCTGAATAGTTGTGTGGAACTGAGGTAGATTTGCCATTCTTTAATCTAAACTCTCTATTTCCTCGCTTTTCTGTTTCTGTTTGTTATAGGTTTTATAGATCCCTATATAGCCTATCTATATTCAGTTTACGTTTGTTCTATGTTTGATGTTATGTTTGTGCGTTTGTTCGTTACATGTCAGACTAGTCAATAAATCCCATTATAATCAAATGGATTGTATTGTTTGCCTCAGAGAAAAAGTCACTAAAGCGATTGATTCCTTTGCTACAAGCTGTTATTAAGTTCATCAAACTCATAAATGATTAATCTACTTCACAAGGAGTAGTAATAATTTGCTTTCTAAATAAACAGATCATCACAGAGTCCACTCGGACGAGCAGGCGAGGTCTGGTTATATTTATAATAATACTAATAATAATAATAGGTTGTTATTGATAATTAATATTCATAATCTGAGTGTCTGCTGGAACAAGCAGGCGGAATCATGTTATATATCTGTTTTGCAAAATTGACAGTAGGTTAAACCGGAATATTAATATTTAATAATAACTTGTTATTAATGATCATTAATATTCATAAACTTAGCTAATTTCGCTACAAAGATGATTAGATATTTAAAAAAGTGAGCGATTGGTCCATGTTTTAAATTTCTGTCCAGAGAGGTCATGTTTTGATCTTTGATTGGTCTCACACAGTCAAGTGATGCAATTTCCCAGGTAAGAGTTCACCAAGATTAAACTTTGTAAGGCAGTGAACTACGAAACTTGACACAAGAACGTTTGAAGTTACAGAAGTAACCCTTTGTTCCCCGAGGAGGGGAACGGAAGTGCTATACAGTGGATTTGATCTTGTGGGGGGGGGGAATTAACTGTGGCGGAATGAGCATTTGGGATCGCCTTGTGGGGATCACGAATAGCAGGCACCTATACCCAAGACGCAGGCTGACCAGCGGGCAGACCAACAACGTAGTGGGCCAGCAAGTGACTCCTCCGCTGAGTCAATGCTGGGGGCCACGGAGGAATCTGCAGGGCTCACCTGACGGGGAACTTTACTGACAGATAAAAAGGCGCACGTATCTCTGTGTTAGGGAGAATGGCACAGCAAGCGTGTTTCAACATCCTACCGAATTGTTTCCTCAATCACCAAAGGGTTACCTAATACCCTTGAGGAAACCGGCTCCACTTGCAGATTGTAAAACCTTGCAAATGTGTTGGGTGTCGCCCAGCCCGCAGCTCTACAGATGTCTGTTAGAGAGGCGCAGCGTGCGCATGCCCAAGAGGATACGATGCTCCGAGTGGAGTGAGCACGCACTCTCGGGGGACGCAGCTCACCTCGGCTCTGATAAGCGAGAGAATGGCATCCACTATCCAGTGGGAAAACTTAATTTCGATACGGCACTTCCCTGCTGCCGACCGTCATAACAGACGAAGAGCTGCTAAACTCTGAGTGCGGTCCGGATAATACGCAAGGCGTGAACTGGACAATAAAGAAAGGGCTGGGTCTGCCTCCTCCAGGGGCAGCGCTTGCAGGCTCACTACCTGGCATTAAAACGACTGACCGAAAAAATGCCTCCGGGTCCCCGACCCTCTAATCGATATCAACGCGACCAGCAGAGCTGTCTTCAGGGACAGAAAGATATTGAGTCAAGGATCAAATGGATCTGACGCAGCTCGTGTAACGAGGGCGAGATCCTAAGAGGGCATGAGAGGGGGCGGGGTGGATTAATTCGCCTAGCGCCCCTGAGGAACCGGATGATGAGGTTATGCGTTCCCACGCTGCTGCCAGCCACCGCGTCATGAGAGCGGAGATGGTAGCCACGTAACCTTGAGTGTTGAGGGCGACAGCCTGCTCTCCAGCTTCTCTCAGGGTAAAGAAAGCACAACGTTAATCTGGCAAATTACGGGGGTCTTCTCTGCGAGAGATGCACCATTCAGTGAATAGACTCCACTTCAGGGCATAGGCGCGCTCGGGGAGGGGGCTTTAGCCCGAGTGACGGTATTAGCCACCGCAATCGGAGGTTACCCAAGTCTTCCTCGCGTCTAAGGACCTCCAAAGATCGGCGAGAGTGCCAGATGGTGCCCTGTCTCTGAGAGAGTAGGTGCTCTCTCGAAGGGAGCTGCCAGGGGAGGGCTCTGACATCCAGGTCCGGAGCTCCGGAGGGGAGGCTCAAGGGGTAGGAGAAAGGAGACCATCCTCCCAGCGCTTATGAGCCACTGGCGAAACGCACCGAACCTGCAAGCTAGAAAGCATAGCGTCCCCGACTGGCAGATTTCAGGCTGTCACATCCGGGGAAGTGGAAAAGTGCTTTTTCATGATGTTTTCACGGCAGTAAAAAGTGCCGTTGGAAATGGGGCCCCGCCCTCCAGCGGGGAAAGAGCAAGTTCCCTCTTATCCAGATGGCCTGTCCCAGGCACTCTTCGCGGTCCGTTGCCGGACTTCTGGGCAGGGGGGGCTGCCTGCTTCCGAGGTGCTCGACGCGCTCGCTTCGCCAGAGGCGTGTGCGGGGGCGGTGCAGCTCTCGTAGGCGGGCGCCTTTGGCGAGGAGCAGGTATGGATGGCACGGCGGGCGGAGCGGGCTTACGGACCCGCCGATAAGACATCACCCATCAGACTGCTCTCTCACCTCCTCGAATTCCTGGGTGAATTCACAGACGGTGTCACCGAACATGCCAGCTTGGGATATGGGGAAGTCAAGAAAGCGGACTTTGTCGACTTTGCGCATATCAGCCAGGAGTGGCACTCCTGGATCACTAGTGTGGACATCGTCCTCCGCAACGCACACACAGCGGACTTAGTAGTCCAAAGAACTTAGTCGGCTGCTGTGCGAAGCTCATAAGCCTAGGTTGGACCCAACCTCGTGCAGCTTGGCAAGCGCCTGCGCTTGGTAGCGCTGGTAGGTGGCTATTGCATGCAAGGCGGAAGCAGCCTGGCCCGCGGCCTTGTAAGCTCTAGCTCCGAGGGAGGCAGATAACTTACAGGCTTTGGATGGGAGACGAGGCGGACCCTGCCAAGAAGAGGCGCCGCGCGGATTGACCGCCATCGCGCACTCAACCTGAGGAATCGCCACATACCACCTGGCCGTTCCACCGTCAAGAGTGGTGAGGGTGGAGGGACACGCAGCACGAGCAGAAAAAAGTGCCCTTCAAGACCGCGTGAGCCTACTGTGCAGCTCCGGGAAGAAGGGGACGCCCCTCTAGTCGGCCCAGCCGCGGGATAAACCATCTCCAACCCATGGCCGAAGCAGCCCGGGAAAGCACGGCTAACATGTCTGTTTCAGGATCCGTCTTGACAGCGCTCAGCTGCCCGGAGGGGGCGAGCGGGTCTGGATCATCATCGGAAAATGAAAGCCCACCCTCCAATGCCGCGGTGGACGTCTGGTCTCCGGTGTCATCGAGCGTAAGGGCTACCATCTGTTAGACGGATCGCTTCCCTTGCCTGAAGCTTGGATGGAGCGCTTGGAGGAGCGGGAGGTCCGCGGGCCCGTGGATTATCTCTCGCTGAACCCTCAGATCTGCCCGAGTGCCCGCTGCAGAGCAGGGGACAACTGGGGTGGTTTGCCCTTTCGCAAAGGCTAGCCGAGATCTTTACTGCGCAACAGTCATGGCATCGCAATGACGACATGAACTGTCCACAAGCAGCGCATTAACATGCTGGACCCCCCAGGCATGCAATGCAGTGCCCATGCCCATCATCCGAGGACAGGAAACCGCCGCATCCAGAAACGCACAGTCGGAGCGCCGTCCTGAAAAGGACGTGCTGCACGACTGTGTTGCTCGCTTTGTGAAGTTGCAACTTTATATGCACCGCTCTGGAGGACCGGACCCAAAGAACGCCAGGCAAGGGAGAAACTCAGCTCGACCGTCTGCCGCTGCGTGTATACACTCTGGACCGGAAGAATGCTCTCGTTCGCTCGCTCCAGGTGTGCTTATATGCTGGGATAATTGGCAATGAGGCACACCTGCACAAGCTTACGCTGCCAATTATTTGCTTCATTGGCCCATTCAATACTCTTTCAGACAAACGGCTTCTGAACCGAATCCTCCCATACGTGGATTTTCCAAGATCAAATCCACTGTATAGTACTGAAGTTCCCCAACCGAAGGGGAACTTGTGTTTCCGGTCTTACGCATTTGCATGCGTATGAATGGAAGTCTATGGGGAAAAAAAAATCAAGTGTGACCGTGGCTTAAGTGCAAGTGAATGGCTTTTCTCCATTGTGGCTCAACACGTGTTTATTAAGGTGTGCTGATTGGCTGAAACTCTTCCCACACTGAGTGCAAGTGAATGGTTTCTCTCCAGTGTGGATCCTCATGTGTAAATTAAGGGATGACAATTGGCTGAAACTCTTTCCACACTGAGTGCAAGTGAATGGTTTCTCTCCAGTGTGGAGCCTCATGTGTAAATTAAGGGATGACAATTGGCTGAAACTCTTTCCACACTGAGTGCATGTAAATGGTTTCTCTCCAGTGTGGATCCTCATGTGTGAATTGAGGTTTGATGATTGGCTGAAACTCTTCCCACACTGAGTGCATATGAATGGTTTCTCTCCAGTGTGGATCCTCATGTGTAGATTAAAGTGTGATGGTCTGCTAAAACTCTTTCCACACTGGTGGCATGTGAATGGTTTCTCTCCACTGTGGATTTTCATGTGTTTATTAAAGTTTGATGATTGGCTAAACCTCTTCCCACACTGAGTGCATGTGAATGGTTTCTCCCCAGTGTGAATCATCATGTGTAGATTAAGGGATGATGATTGGTTGAAACTCCTCCCACACTGAGTGCATGTGAATGGTTTCTCTCCAGTGTGGATCCTCATGTGAATTTTAAGAGTGTTTTGTATTCCAAAACTCTTCCCACACTGAGTGCATGTGTATGGTTTCTCTCCAGTGTGGATTTTCATGTGATTATTAAGGTTTGATAATTGGTGGTAACTCCTCCCACACTGAGTGCATGTAAATGGTTTCTCTCCCGTGTGGATCCTCATGTGAATTTTAAGACTGCTTTGTATTCCAAAACTCTTTCCACACTGAGTGCATGTGAATGGTTTCTCTCCAGTGTGGATCTTCATGTGATTATTAAGGTTTGATGATTGGCTAAAACTCTTCTCACACTGAGCGCAAGTGAATGGTTTCTTTCCAGTGTGGATCCTCATGTGAATTTTAAGACTGCTTTGTATTCCAAAACTCTTCCCACACTGAGTGCATGTGAATGGTTTCTCTCCAGTGTGGATCCTCATGTGAATCTTAAGTTTGCTTTTGCTTGCCAAACTCCTTCCACACTGAGTGCAGGTGAAAAGATTCTTGTCTCTCCTCTTTAAAATACCATCAGTCTGTAAATGACTTTGGTCCTCAATTTTGACATGATGTCCCTCCTCTTTACTCCACTCATACTCTTCAATTAGGTCTGAAATTTAAAAAAAAAAATCATTAGTTTTCATTGAGTCTTAAAAACTCTCATTGAAAGCTGAAAAGTGAGAAGACACTCATTGGCTACACACACTAATTTTGATGCACATTAAATGTAAAATAAATCAGATATTTTGTTTGGTCCATTAACTTGTACACATTTAAGCAGATTACATTAAATTCATCTTTATTTATCTAGTGCTTTTACAATGGAAATTGTGTTAAAGCCGCTTAACATAGAACTTATAGTAAATAGGCTCTATGCACAAACTCTGCTGACGTGTTTCCGGTAGAATATCAGTCAGGCTGTTTACTTCCGCATAGCGAAATCTGATAGCGTTGATTTCATTCTACAGCGAAATCTAATAGCAGAGACACCTAAACGCATCAGAGCATTGCAAAGAAGGGAGATTTACTCTTAAACTGGTGAGGCCATGTGCCAGTGTATGTCCAGCATCTGAAACATCATTACTGTTAAGTTCCAGAAGCCACGGTAGTTGATTTTATACACCATATTAGGCAGACAATCTCTGTGAAGAGGTGGAGTGACTAAAAGGAGACTGCTTTGATGCTGCTTTTGGTGATAATATAAGGTTCTAAAGGTACAGTTAAAAAATTATGTACAAGAATAAAACCCAGATGAAAGAAGTAACAAGTTGTAATTGTATTTTATATTAAATAATATTACATTTAATATTATATAATATTACATTAACCATACTATAGTAAGTTTTATTATACTGTATACTGTATACATGCATGCATACACACACACACACCAAACATTCTAGTGTCATGTAAGAGGCAAATACCAAACTAAAACAAATACTTACATGCAAAACCTAATGCATTTCTTTCTAATTTATACATCTACATCCTACAACATACAGAGTAATGTGTCCAGAGTAAATGCGACTGTGAGGGAGATGCCATCCATCACAAGGCTTAGGGTCTACACTGAGAATCTCATCTGCCGGGTGAAGCAACAAGCTGGACAGTCATCATCTCTTTCTATTACAGCAAGCATCAACCTGATTTACACAATGGCTTGCCTTCTGCCCATCAGTAATATTTTGGGATTTTCCGCCTGGATTTTGCCTACCCAAATTTAGAAGCTTGCCAAATCCACATGCAAAGGTGTAAATGAAAAAAATTGGTATAACTTTAAAGGGTCACGAAACACCAAAACACATTTTTTGAGCTGTTGACAGTCGTATATGTGTCCCACACTGCTAAAAACACTATTAGGACACCTATATTTCACTAAAAAGTGTAAATTGGTTGTTTTTGCGTTATTTCAAGCAAATTCGTACTTCCGGTTTGAAACTAATTTTTGAAGCTGCGTCACGGCCATGACATAATAGCGTTGTATTCCAGCATGCAGACTGGACGTCTGTGCCAGAGTGAGTCTTATTATGTCTTACAGTGTGCTGCATTAATGGATGAGTAAGGCTTGGTTCAAACCAATCAGCGCGCTCTATTGTGCAACTTCATTAACATTCATTACTGTCAGAGTGTAGACGGCAGAGACGCCACGTTTTATTGGCAAAACAAGCATGAAGTGTTGCTTTTATAGTTTGCTGCAGTTAAGTTTTGTTTTCATTTTCTCTCTGTGAGAGCGCAGCTGGCGTCACGTGTGGATTAACAGTGTACGCGACGCGCGACAACAATAACTTACGTGTCTAAGGAGGAACATTGTTTACCTGAGAGCTGTTCTCATCTGCAAACGCTGAGATCCAGATTCGCTTGTTTTCTTCTCTTAATAAAGATCTAGTTGCTGTGGATTGTCCTGTCTCTACAGATTTGGTAAGTGAGCGACCAGTGCTCTTTGTTTATTCAGTTCGTATTTTATTCGTATCAAACAAACTATTGCACCAAGTGTAAACAAGTTAGCACTAACAGTTACAATTAAACTATAACCTCGTGTTGAATTTTGTGACCGGAATAACACACGCGGCTTTCTGACACTACCTGCCGAGTGCATCTAAGTTTCCGGGAAATGCTGAGTTTTTTTTTCTCTCATTCGCCGTGCGGTATCACACATTGCATGAAAAATACACGCTTAGAGCAGTTCCTTGAATCAAATATCACGTTTGTTGCGAGGGGCATGAATGAATTCCCTGAATGAAAGAGCCAAACTGCAGTTAAAGTCCACCATTTAATAATTTGGCAAATAATTCGACTACAGATGTCCATGTAGGTTAAACACCATCCCTTTCTCCTGTGTATTTTGACTGAAACTCGCGCGTGCCCAAATAGACACTCCCACACCAAGCCTCTTTTCTTCCTCCGACACTCCCCCCTAAACAGAGCTGGACACGCCCACTTTTCTGACTTTTTCCAAAGTAGAGGTGTGAAAACACCCTGCTGAAACGAGGGGGTTTCATGGCCCTTTAAAAAAAAAACCTTTGCATTTTCACAAAACACTATTGAGAGCATTTAAAATACCTGTATATGTTGTCTGTGTTATAATAAACAGCTAAAAATAGAGGCGCTTTTGTATTTATTTATTTTTTATTAACTCAAATTTTAATGTGTACCTTTTAGGTTCTGTGTGGTCTAGCGTGTTGTAATTAATTTTGGTGGTTCCTGCACATGTCTGTAATCATAGTAAAAAAGAAAAATGTCTCTACCATTATCTATGCAAAAGTTATTGTATTCCAACTGTTGAGAGGTGCTGTACAAGCCACAGGGATCGATCATTGTTTACATATTTCATTATTCTTTTGTTTGATCAAACATAATTTACTATGTTTGGACCACATCAGACATATAAAAGGATTACTTATGCACATCACCTCAAAAACAGAGGAGAATGGCCCTGAAGCACACAGCATAAGGTAAGAGATGACAGCTGTCTGTGCTATCTGGGGCTGCTTATTAATCATGAATGTATTGTTTTCATTTCTGCGCTATGGAAACACCATGGTTCATCCGGCAACTGTTTGATTTGGGAATATAATTCACTTTCATTTGAGCTATAACTTGTACATGTGTCATATGAAAAATATGAAAATGGGCTGTGGGGTCCCCGGTCCCCTTATTATGGTGGGCACATCCCTTATTTTCACATCCCAATGTTGACAGGTATACCCTACATAGTAAAGCTGAACTGTAGTAGGTATTGTTGTTCCAAAGACATCTACTTTAGTTCCTAGTTTATAGGTCTTACTGTTCCCCTAAGACCTCTCAATACTAAAAAATTTGTTCTGAAAGAATCTCCATCTGTACCTATCCAATAGAGTGAAGGAACTATGACATCAATTTGTATGCAAAAACCCGGAAACGAGTTAGCATTTTAGCACTTCCGGTTCCCTTGTCCCAAAGTCAATGGGTTTTTTGTATGGGGTTTCAGTAAAATCGCTAAAATAAGGTTCGTGGCTAACACAAACTCACTATACTTTCACGTTTTTTTCTACGACATAAAACACATCCGCTACAGCACACTCCTGAACTTTTAAATCGCTTATGCTTCTTTAAAAGGACGGTTGCTATCAAAGTGCTAAATGAGACTACAGGTGGTGTTGAGGACATTATACGTCATCGAAATGATCTGGTCTGTAGCGCAGCTCGCTTCTGTTGGGCATTTGGATTTGTCTGTTATTTAGGTATTTTCATGAATAGTATTTTATAGTTTGTAGTATTTTTCTAATTGGGAATTCAGATTGTGTGTGATAATTCCTTCACTTGTAAAGACTGTCGAGACAGATTCATTTGTTGATTAGTTATTTTAATTAAACGATACTCACCAGTTCAGCCTGCCTTTTTCCTGCTCTCAGTAATGCAAACGTGTAAATAAATGTGTAAAAATACATGCATTTTAACTGTCATTTTTAGGTAATCAAGTGATTTTTCGTCTTTTTTTCTTTATCTAAACAAGTTTAACTCTGTCATAACTGCAATGTTTACACTCATCCATAAAATATATATCATATATGACTGTATGGGCTGCTTTTCACTGTACTTCGTGACATAAAAGGAATATTGAATGTTGCTCTGTGTCCATCATGGAACTTGCAGGCATTGATTTGATAGACTTGTCCCTCATGCCTCATTTCTGTCGTCTGTTAAAGCAAGCAGGCTGTGTGCACGCGAACGATACACTTATTTAAATATGTATTATGATAATACTATGTAGGCACATTTATACATAGTTTTAAAACTTTTAGAACAACCGTAAAGCAAAACAGATGTATTTCCCACTTAAAAACGATTCATAAGGCACGTAGGTCTATGTGTTTGTGTGTATTTATTTGTTTATAATATATACTGTGGATTATAATATAATAAACAGAGAGATTAACTCTTTGTCATGGACATTATTTCTAAAAAATAAGCTTGATAAGTCGTCTGTAGCAGGGTGGTGCTGACGTCACAGGCACGCGCCCCGAGGGCTCTGTAGTCCGTTTATAGCCTAATGTTAGCTTTTCATCTCTTGCGTTTGCATTTAAGATCCAAAAGTGCTCAAAGTTGTATTTTCATGTGAGGATTATCCGGCTGGACAAAACGTGTTATTGTAATGAACAGTGTATGAACACAGAGCTTATTATTGGCAATCTTCGAAAAGCCTATGGGAAAGTCCTATAGGGATTTTCATGAGGGAACCAGTTTTATGCTAGCAGCCGATTAGCCTACAAAGTGACGTCATAGTTCCTCCATTCTATAGTTACCATGTTAGCCACCAAAAGCATAACAGCTATGCATCTTTTTCTTCAATGTCATTTTATTTAATTCTATTTTTTCTTTT